TAGTGATGAATTATTTATCGCTAATAAATGTTAAATTAAAGGGAAAAACTAATATGAAAATGAAATAATACCACGTGAAAAAAGTTACAACCTTCAAAAACGCGCGGCTCGGATTCATATGTCTGAATTTGAGAATGAATGTCTTGATACTATAAATGACTTCACTCGGCTTACCGAAATTGTGGACCACAAAATTACTTGGTGGTGGGATGCATATTCAAGTCACCACAATTGGATACTAACTTGATAAGTTGCCAATAATTTTTTTCATTGCTTCGCACCAACCGCATGTGCTTATAACCATCAGAGGTGATTTTAATCTGCAGAAAATATGAATTTCGACTTCAGTACCGGGTCTGTAGTTGTAACATTAGAACTTTGTGGATGGATCCAACAAGTCTGAAAGCCAACTAAAAGGGATAGTATACTCGATTTATTATTCACAATCAACATAGACCTTATCTCAGTGCACGTCAGCTATGAACTTTCTATGAGTGATCGCAGAGCCGTAGTGCGTATTATTCATTTTTTAAACACTATACCTTTGAACTGTAGAGCTGCAACAATGTACCAGGGCAGCTAGTTTTAATAACAATAATGATAATAATAATTTATTCTCAAATAACAGTTTGTTACATGAGGCATGCCAGTTTACAGGCAAGATCAAATTGTCACAAATGATACAATTTCCACTGTAGTAAATTACTCAGCTGGGCTGATAATTTGTAAGATATGAATGTAGACGGTCTTAGTATCACAGTTGGCGCGCTTCATGAAAATTGCGTTGCGAATGTGCAACTGATGGTCAAGGATAGGTCCATTGAAGGTGGGAGCTTCTAGAGATCGCAACCTTTTGTCCCTTTGGAATAGCTGAGGCTTTTAGGATGGTGCAAGATGAAGTCACCCGCTCCATATCTCAAGGGGGCTGAAAGAGGGGGCAAGTAAAAAAGGACGAGAGGCAGAGTAGCCAATATTCATGAAGGAATGTTTAAGGTATGGTTACTCAGTATTATTTTCTTTATTAAGGTATTTGTTAATCAAGAGCGTTTTAATAGGCTAAAGAAGGTAAGTGAAAACAAGGTATGAGTGGACATACAACTGAAAAATGGAGGGGATTCAGAAAGGAGCTGAGAGTATGGGATTATGTGTGGTTTTAAAATACAGTGCTAAAAACAGTATTGTGATATGCAATTGGCTATCTTCTTTTCTTTAATCGAAGCTATTGGAGCCCTTTTCATTTTTTTATTATTTTTCTTTTTTAGGTATCATAGGGTATTGAGTAGGCTTCGTATATTACCAAGTCTGAAGGTGCACTGAATCTCTTTTTTGATGCTTACCGTGGAGATCTTACTTCACCACAAATAATATTGACACTGCGCCCTCCTTCATCATTTATGAAGTGTAGTGGTAGGGAACTACCATTATTTTACTTAAAACTGTTCAACCTATCTATCGACCACGGATCCTACCCATCTGTATGGAAAACAACTGTTATAACCCCTAGATTCAAAACGGGATCATGTGGCGATATTGCTAACTATAGGCTCATTAACTTCAAGTCAGTGCAACCAACACCTATAGAAAAAACATCCGCAAAATGCTATTAACAATTTCTACTTTTGGCTAGCCTGGTTATCCCATCTCAACACGGGTCTATGACTAAGCGCTCATAATTTACATCGCACCTGGAATTTTTTGCTGAAATTACCCAGAGAAGAGATGTTGAGCAGTCAGTTATAATTCTGTACTTCGATTTTATTAAGGCATTCGACTGTGTCTCACACAAACTCATTGTTCTAACACCTCCCCTATTTACTATACGGAATCCCCTTTTATCATGGCTCAATTTTTTTAGCAGAACATAGCCAAATCGTCCGCTTTGGATCTTGTTACTCTCGGCCTGTGAATGTAAACGGTGGGTTTATACAAGGAAGTGTGATTGGCCCATTACTGTTTCTTTTCATTAACGACGTGTGTTCACTCTTTCAATACTGTAAACCTTCAATTTTTTCCTATGACCTAAAACAGGCTTATTAACTAACTTCACCCAACAAAGAAAGCTATATTTCAGCGGTAATCCAAGAAGAAATAATAAAGTTGTACTGATGGACTGTTTTGTGGAATCTGCCTCCGAGTGTTGACAAAAGTGGATTTATTTACATTACTTGCTACCTTAACCTAAATCTGGCTATACACGAACATACACTGAAACTTCGCAACACTGTTTGTGACTTATGTTTGAGATATAGCAATAGTTTGAATTTTTCCGAGTACATTGCTCCTCAAATATCTAAGGTTAAAAGGGTCATTGGATTCATAATGACAAAATTCAACAACATCGAATTATTGTACAACAAAGTTCAACTCACCCATTCTTGAATATAGTGTTTTAGTTTGTAGTAACTGCAGGCATAATGACCTGATTAAAATTAAATGTGTTCAAAAGTTCAAAGGTTCACTGAAGTTGTTTTGGGGCATTCCAACAGGAAGAATTATCACCAAAGATTTAAACATCTCAGTTTACAACCTCTCTCGTCCAGGCTTTTAAATAAAACCTTGCCTTTATCAACTGGCTTATAAACGGTATTTCTTATTCTTCGGCACCCACCCCTTCGTACTCTGTGGTATCAACCCACAACCCATGCAATAAGGAAAATATTCTAGCGATTCCGAGAGCCTACACAAACTTATGCCAGAATTTTTCCGTTGAGCATACTACCTGAGAACCTCCGTTGTGGTGAAACTACAACCCTGTTCAGAATTCGCCTTGATGATTCTATTTCCAAAAATGGATTATGTCAACCATTGAATATTGTGTTTAACAATGATTCATGCGGTCAATTTTCGTCATCCATTTACTTGACTGAAGAAGAGAGTAGAACCTTTGAAACTTTGCTCGTCTATTTTATCTTGATTTCGTCCTATTCATCTTAATATCTGAAGTCCATTTATGTTCATATCTGATTATTATTGAAATTTTTATCATGATTGGTGACTCGACACACTAGATAGTCTTTTAGTCCCTTCTTCTTCTTATAAATATATCTTATTTTAAAACATCCAAGGTCCATAATTAAAAGCAAATCATCTTGTGTTGCACTTGAATAAATTAGCTCTTCAGATTCACTTTATCTTCACCACGTATATACGACACATACGTGGTGACACTTGATTACCGATTGCAATTAATTGAGACTTTCATAGCATTACCACAAACGATTTCTGCAGAGACACTTACTCTACAGTCAGCTCTTACTACAATGACGATTTAGTTTCTTATACAATTTTTTACTCCTTTCTTGTCATTCGTTCGGCGGTACACACAAATTGCTTATTCTCGTTTTGTGTTTACAACCATGTTTAATAACCTACCTATGTACTTCGCATTTCGTTCATTTCTATTTCCTTATTTCCTTCCTTTCCTTGTTTAAGACCTACCCAGTATTCTTCTCAATAAGGAAACCTGTTTTTTAAATATGACAAGTATTGTGCTAATAATATTGAAGTGTATTTTTGTGAAAACCAGCAGCTCTGAAACGAACCACACTTTCTATGTGATAACTGATTATACTACTTGACTGGTTAAATCAAAGCGAATACAACAGGGTTGGAAAAACAAAGAGATGGCTGAATGTTGCAAGTTTTATACGTTACAACAAAATCCAATCATTTCAGGCCATCCTTTTTTGACGACATATTCAGCTATATCACTTTCAGCCCATGCTAATGCTAATCTTTATTTCTTATCTGATTCTGAATGAGTTTTGATTAAAAAAACACTGAATTCTCTGTCTTCCACAAAGCGTCTTAACTCCCTTATGTCTTTATTCATACCAAGCCAACAAAATCACTCTATTATGGGCTTGATGGTTGCATGAACACCTCAACGAGAACGTTTGTGCAGCTTATCGAAGGCGTTGCGTCGGTAATGTTTCGGCACGATTGGGGGATCCTCGTCTGTAAATGTGTCACAAAGTAAAGTTTCCCATCTTTTTAATGCGCAATTTTAGAGTCGCTGAAGATAACTCGTGCTGAAGTTAAGTGTCTTCTTTTTGAAGCTGGGCGAGTTTAAGGAGGTCGACTCCCCGAAAGTTGTTCAAGGAAGTTGTAAGAAACTAAGCGTCTGCAACTAGATTGTTTTCCCAGAAATGTGTCGAACATCTGACGTAAACTGCGAAATGTGGTCTACTTATCGAGACTGTCGAGGGGAGCACCTGTCAAATGATGAGTCTAAAGATAAGATAAGAAGTTTGTGACTGGTGAACAGAGTGAATTCCTGTCCTTCAATAATATTGAAAGTGACATACAACACAATACATAGCTAGTTCTCTTTCTGTAGAAGAACAGTTAACTAATGGTAAAACTCTTTCTTTACCGTATCTGGGCTTCAGTTTGTCGGATCTTAGGCGAATTCGACGAAAAAAACTCATTACATCAACTTCTTCACACTTTAATGAAACTTTCTAGTCTAGTATCACATAACCGACGTTTAGTATTTATCCGATTGATCAGTGCTACCTCAGCCCTTGCGCTTAGTGCGACACCAACGACATCAACGCCGGTGCTCACTGCTGAGAAGTCCCAGGTTTTTGATGGTGGACTAAAATCAATCGGTTCATGATCTCAATCAAAAACTTCACAATCTCCACAACCCTGTACTGAAAAGTCACATGAATCAAAGCGCGTAAAGAAGCCACAAGCATTCGGACGTTGACAACACCTTAACCAGTAACACCTTCTTTAATAGAAGCGTATTTATCCAGTGAAGTCGGAGCTATTGACTTTGGGGATTTATCTACGGATACACACGTTAGAGATATGATCTTTAAATTAAGAAAGCGACCTTCTGTTCAAAAGTGCAGAATCTACTATGAGGAATTCGAACAGAAATATACATCCTGCGATTAAGTACGAAACTTCGCGTTATATATGGAAACTGTTTGCATCTGACCACAAAGTCGTTGTTTGTTTTATTGAGTAAGCCAGTATAATCGGTTTCTAGCTTATTGACCTTGGGAGGTTTCAAGTATTCTTCCAGGATATCACTGATTTCATCTAAATGTTAGAAAAGTCTATAGAGGGATCTCAAAGATTTGCGCGTGGTGAAGAGCATGGCAGAGATACAAAGGAAGTCGGTAACATGCTTTGTGAAATGACCACTGCCACAACAGAAAAAAATCAGTTTTATTTTGAAGCATTTCACATTCAAAGAGTGCATAAAGTTTGTTGCAGATCCACAGTATGCAACTGAAACCAAACCAAGTGATCGGTTTGTTTGCTTTCAATTTTAATTTGATGCTTGCAGTTGTTATTGCGGAGATTATAGACTTGACCATTATTTTCATGGTGAGGAATATGCTTACAAACATTACTCTGTATAGAGCAGAAACGTTCAGAAACGGGCGATAAAGAATGGTCTGAGTCTGAATGTTTAGAAGTGGTTGGTCCGTCAAATGCTTTCGGACAGATAGAGTTCATAACAGAGTCTACTTCCAACCACAAGCCCACTGAGGTATGATTTAGTTTAATAAAGTAACTCCTCAGATTTTTGTGTAAAAACAATGTGTAGCACGCATAATGTGTGCCAATTTTTTTTCTTAATAGTTCAAAAATGCATAAAATTGATGGAATCATATGGGTTGTTTGGAACTAAAATCACTAGTAACTTTGTACAAATCATGGTGGCGTACCAGTCTTTAGTAAACAAAGTTTACGTTGAAAGAGAATTCGATGTTATAGTCTCGCGATTTCATGACGATTATACGATGAAAACCCGGTCTATGATTCATTTCAGAATACCTCTAGTCATCCTGAGGTAATATTCATTCCGCCCAGATTTTTCCAAACACCTCAATTTTATCATCTGTATTTGCATTAATACTTGAGAAATAAATCATATTATCGTGTCGTTCACATTATATTCATTGAAGTTTAACGGCTATATCTTTTAAATGTAAAAATTCTAATCGTCTACACAAGATATTTGATATAAATTTTATCTTGATCAAAGTCGTGTTCTCTTGCGTAAACTGAACACTTCTTACCAATCAAAATGTCAGTAGACAAGCTCTTTATATCAAAAAGCTCATTTTGAGCTTTGTAATTCACTTGGTATATCACACTAGACCAATCCGGTTTAAGCAGTAGGGGACATAATAGTTTTCTATTTGGTAACTGTACATAGTTGAGTTATGAACTTTAAAAAGGAACAGTGTAGAAAGATCATCATAATATCAATGATTGTTAATTTTTTGTGGTGTTTAAAGTTAGTTATTCAATGAGTTGTAATTTTTCTGTCTGTGGATTCAGGGTAATGATGTGGAGTTTCAATGAATTTTGTGTGATATTTATCAGTTAGTTAGTTAAATATAGTTTTCCCAAGCTATAAACTTTATAATTCGTTATTTGGCCGTAAATTTATAACAATTTTGAATACATCTTACGGCGTACTTGCACGTATTCGAAAGGTTTTTCCGAGTAATACAAATAAAGTTCCATCAACGGCATTTTAGAATTTTTGAATTATAGAGTACTGACCACGGAGTTAATGCTAACTTTCATAATTCAAATCATTGCTGGTTACTTTCCAAATCAGATATAATCGCTCAGTCTTATCAAACTATCATTACATGACTGCCAAATATCCGATGATGTTTTGTATATGGGCCTAAGTATAAGCCATAAGTAGTATAAAACTATGAACTGATTAGTAAATATGTATATTCTGTTGTTAGGCTAAATTATTTTGCAGTTTACCTGTCGGATTCTCATGCATTATGATCTGAAATTAAAAGACGTATTGTCAATAGAGCCATTTTTTACAAAAAAGTCAAGATGAGGTAGCAAGTCTCTATAGGACCCTGATTGAAAACATGAACATATGCTCTTAGCTAGTTAGTTTATTTTTGAGATAATAATCACTTCGTGCTCCTAGTTTTCAAATGATACTTTAATATGCTGACGGGCATGAGAATTCTTAGTCAGTAACTATGTTACGAGCCGTTATAGACGAACCGCTTAGCATTGATTTGAAAAACATTTTATGGGTTAAATTTCCTATTAAATTATGCGAACATGGTTTCATAATTTTACAAGTAGACTATCAAAAACAATCCCGAGTTTTTCGTGGTAGTACATGATTTGTTTGATAGTGTTCAGTGACTAGTTGAGGATGGAAGTGATGAATGTGGTCTAACTTACTCAAACTTAGCTTTACATTCAACTTAAAAAGATGCCCTTAAACCATTTAATTGTTATCCGTACAACAATTTCAGGTAGTAAGAAATACTATGAATGATTTGATACTGAAATCACGTCATTTACATACACGTGTACTAAAACACTGTACAGTACAGTGTAGATATATCTTAGTAGTCAGTATGGGGTTGTGGAGATTGTTGAGTTTGAATTGATATCATGAGTGGATCAGTTTTAGACGGCCATTAAAAACCTGGAAGCACTGGACGGTCGTTTTATCCTATTGTGGGACTCCTGAGCAGTGCACATCCACGATCTCGCTCTTGGAATTCGAACCCAGGGCCTTCAGTCTCGCGTGTGAACGCTTAACCTCTAGACGAAAGACTCGGTATCCAACGGCGCTAATGTGTGACCCAACCAATCCAGGATATCACGCGACCGTCCACCATTGTCTTCAGTGAGTAACTACCTCTCAAAGAACACACTTAAATTCTGCCGGGCACGGCTTTTCATTAGAACTCCAGCAAATTAATCTTGAAGCTAGTCACTAGTAAGCACATGACAATTATCAGTATAGGGTCGTTGAGATTATTGAGTTTAGTAACACGGTTTTTGTCGAAAAGTTCATCAAAAGTGGTATAAAGAGGTGTTTAGACAGAATCCAAGGAAATTTAGTTTATTAACTGAAGGAGGTAATAATATGGTAGCCAATTATCGCTTCACATGACTGAGATATAATTCTGTTTTAGTCAAAAATATTTTACATTTAAAAGTGTTTTAACGAATACTTGCAGTAGAGAATTTATTTATTATTTCTATAATTTGTGTAATTCATGTCTGTGATTCAGTCAGTCAGTAACAACGTAACAACAACGTAACAACGTCTGTGATTAATTCTTTTTGTGTATAAGGTTTTAGGGATGGTATTCTAAGTAGGTAGATAAGTTTTACTAAAAAAACAACAAAATCACACGAGTTGGTTCAGTTGTTTTAGTGACAGTATTCAGCATAAAATTTGGTCATCTAAAATGATGTATATAGAATTAAGATATTGTGCCTATACTTGTAAGAATGATGGATGTCTGACAGTAAGAAACCTTTGTCTCATTGATTATCTATAAAATTATAAGTCGTAGTATTTGAACACATTTAGAAAACCAGAAAAGGAATTCTACACTCCGTATTTAGACGTTGTAAGCTTTTTATTCCAGTACTATTTGAATCCTAGCGCTTTTCGTTCCCAAGAATCCCAAGATTTAATAATTACAAATTTACCGTTGTACCCAAATATTCACTTATGTGACAACTAGAAGTGATAAAATTGGCAGATCATATTATCTGAGTACTACCAGTGGAAATACTTGTACTTGGTCACACCTAATGATTCTTTTTCTTGTATTTTTCAAATCATAGAACATAATTCAATTATAAACTAAAACAGTAGGCTATGCATTTTACTAGGTACCCGCATTACTACCACAAATTAAAAATTTAGTGGATACAGTGTTTAAGGTATGAATGACCTTATTAATTTTATTTTTCGTTTATTTATTTATACGCTCAGAAAACCAGTCATGATAACCACTTAGTAATGACTAACAAAGAAAACGAAATTTGTCAAAAGTTATTGTTTTAAAAAATCCGAGATCTATATAGTTATCAAGTCTTTTATTCTATAAACCTAGCTGTAGTTATGAAGTTAAATTTGATCTCTTTGAAATGTTTTGCTGCGTATTGTCTTCTAGTTGCTTCTATTTTGTAACATGAAAACTTTTTCAACGAAAAAAATAAGGAAAGAGAAAAAGGATAGACTTTTGATAGGTATATTTTGACATCGAAGATTATATTTTTTGTTGTTTATACGTGATTCTGACGACAGCATTTCCCTTGTTGTGAACAAGAACTCAGGTGGGAAAAATTAATTTACACTTAAACGCAAAATTGCACAGTGGCTTTGTCAATTGTAAAAATCATACGTTAAATACATTATTTGTACAGCTTCTTTGTGCTGTCCCTCACATACTCCGCTATTCCTTTAATTATATTTTTATTTTGATCGCTTTTCGATTTTTTTCTTGTTCTCTTAATTTTATGCTCCTGCTGCCATATATTTCACTTCCTATTGGTGGTAACTACTACTTATATCTGTCAACATAGGTAGCATGCACTATACTCGAGATTGATCAATGTTATTGCTTTGTAATGCTTAGATGTATCAGCCAGTCCATAGAAAACACTAGTTTATTTTATAGTATGAAGCACATGTGGGCTATCCTTTAAATTTCGACCTCATCCTTCGTAAATTACTTTTCAGTTTCAAAAGCGCATGATCTATGACGAATATTCACATAAAAATACGACACTATAATCACTAACTGACAGTCATGTGGTCACTTGTGACTAACTTCAAAGTGAATCTCCTTAAGTTCTGGCAGAAACCAACATCTGTAGAATTAACCAAACCAACAGTGAGACTTTAATGCGCTTAAAAAATCGAATGAGACCAGTATTGCATCATCTATTGGTTAAAATTCAAAATACAACCCACTGTTTTCCCACTTAGTGCACTCAGCTGATTAGTGCATTTTACGAATTCCAAATGTCGTGAGTTCACGTTACTACAGAGTTCCAAACGTGAACAAAACAGTTGATCCAGTCCTCTCAATGTTTACCTGATTCTCGTCGGTTTGTCGTTACAACCATATAATTACTACTATTATCATTATTATTGTTGGACAGTAAAACTACACACACACACACGCACACACACTTGATGTTGTTTGCTTGTATCTTCTCATTGTTATTGAGGACTGCAATTGGTCAGTCTTTTGTTGGCATATATGCATCCTATGCGGATTGCCTTGATATAGCCACAAGTCACAAGCTTTTTAAGTAAAGATGGGTAGTGACCAACAATGGAATTCAGGACTAGCATTTCGTCCTATATGGGTTGTGAAATTAAAGACAATGAATTGTTAGAACGATAATTAAATAAATAATTGAAGCTGACTAGAATTATCAAAAAAGGTTCACGAATTTTTTGCCATTTGTTTATATACATTTTTTTATTAATTAATCGTTTTAGTTTGTACGTATCTCAGATGAAGATAAATTAGAAGATGTAATGATATTGATGAAAAATTACTGGAAAATGATGGAACCAGAAAAACCTAGTTTATGTATTTCTGTTATTGGTGGAGCAAAAAATTTTGTCCTCGAAGGACATAAAAAAGAAGTTTTTTATTCTGTTAGAAAATATTTATTTGTTTACTCATTTGTTACTTAAATTTTAATATGAATTGTTTACTGATATGAACAGTTTTTAATATTGGATTAATTAATTAAGGTTTAATAATGATTGATCATAATTTCAAACAATGTAGAAGTAAACTATAGAAAATAACTATTTGAAGTACGTGCTGATAATGTTGTCTAGAAAGACAATGAAAGTTTCACTATCAAACCATCAAGATTAGAGGATGAAAATGCATCAGAAAATATTGACGTTTGGATAGTTGATTAATACTTTTTAAAACAAAATCTATCAATATTTGATCCACATTTTAAATGACTATAATAGAAACGAGACAAGACAGATAAATTATGATGTTAAGCTATTTAGATATTGTTAAATAGGATTGCATAAACATTCAATCTAAATTAGTTGTTTTTTCAATATTTAAATGAATAAATAGAACAAGTGTTTGCCAATATCACAATACTGAATTCCTTTTGAAGAAAAAATACGGTTTAGTTTAAGAAATGCCTGAATCACAATAAAACTAGAATTACTTAAAAAAAATGAACCATTAGGTAGAGTACAGTATTTATTTCATATGAGTAAGTTTGTGTAAGTTAGCCTAGAACAAACATTTGCTAGATTAGAAAAATAAGTAGAATGTTTTATTGTTGAAAAGTTGTGGCAATAAACAGAAGATAAATCGGAATTGGAAAATGATTCACAAAAGGAAAGACAATCTTTAATTAAAATATAAAGAATGTTTTTTAAGAAAAAAACAGGGAAATATGTACAGGATGACAGTTCGGATCTAATAGTTATGACGTAACACTTTTGCTGTATTTATTTCATCAAAACAAATGAATTTAATCATGTTTCAACCATAATATTATAGATCGAATTAATTCTCTGATTGTCTATTAAATAACTAAGATACTGTACAGTGTAATTATAGGATTTTTAGTTTATGGAGAAGTTTAAATATTTAGACATACTCGTTAAGTTTTGTTTGCATATAACTTGATTCAAACAAATAAATCAGAAGTAAAACAAAAGAAACTTTAAATTTTACGGAAGAAGATAAAATTAACTCAACTTTATGCGACTAATTTATTTCAATATGAACAGGATATATACATACAGGACACATACATTAACTAAAGAAAGCGTATTTGTTATAAGTATTGTTATTATACGATTAAACTGAATAAACGAATATTCAAAGAAACAAGACATTGGAAATGCAAAATTTTAAATGGATTTTTTAAATCAGATATTTACAACAAAAAAACGGATCACAGTACTTTTAACAAGCCTTTTACTGAGTATCATGTTACATCTTTTTTATCTACCAAAGGGTTTAGTTCAAGCAGCACAAACAACTCGAGCTTGGATTGTAACATCAGGTTTAAATTTAGGAATTATACGAGTGGTTGGCGATGCATTGCAAGAACAATCATACAGTACGGACAAAAGAATGTTGTCTCAACAATTAAGATGTATTGGTATTGCTCCATGGGGTTATGTACTGAATCGTAATACTCTGGTCGCTAACAGTTATGAAGTAGGCACCAAACAAAATTGTTGTGATTTCACGAGTGATTATTACGTTTTGTGTGCATGTGTAGTGTTGTTTTCAAACTATCAAATTTATTTCAACCAGTGAATTATTAATTTATTATTTCTTCAAAAAAACATGATCAATCCGTAAAATGCTAACCATTATGAATAGTGTATTGTCCGGCAATGTAGAGTCCTTATCGGTCCTTTTTCCCTCATAGCCCTGCCCGTTGCAACCAGAACACTAATCTTAGCATCTGCGATATGAATCATGTATTTCAAACGTATTGGGTTTATATACAAACCAAACGGACCACATCGTACCACAAAATAGAAAACAACATTTGTACAAGATTTAGTCAAAAGTGGCTATGACTGTGGGAGACAGTAATCAATAGACTGGCATAATTCAAGAATGGTAAATCGCATAATAATAATTCATAGGTCAAAATAAAGCTTATGATAAGAGAAACACGAACGCGAATAGTTTAGTTAATTAATAATTACACAATAAAAATATATGTATAATATTAGTCCAGAAATAGATTCCGACAGTTACCATTCATTATTCTCATCGGGATATAACACACTAACTTGCATTATTCAGTTCTTTGGTGACATATGTTACAGTGGTAATGGGCTAGTAATTCTGTTAAGACTGATCAATCAATATTATTTAATATGCTCATTTTGCAAATTTGTGTATTTATTTGAATTATTATAGATTACAGTCAACATTTTTGTACATCTCTACTGAGATTTATATATTTGACCACATAAGCAGGTAGTGTACTGTATTTTAATGATTTAAAATGTCACAATTTTTATGAAGGTAGTCACATAAAACAAGAAATTGTGATCGAAACAAGGTAACTTAGATTATAATTATTCAGCCGATTATATTAAAACAAAAACAAGCCATAAGAACTGAAAATGAACAGTTTGTATTTTACTGTTCTGAACTAGTGGTTCATCAATATTTTGTGAATTATGTGTAGAATGAAGAAAACTAATATTCAGCCTGGAAAAGTTATTAGCTTCCAAAATTGGTAATAAGTACAGCAAAATTGAAGCGTAGATAATAAACAGTTCATGCAAAAATGTCACAGGTTTCTTTGCTCTTTTCTTATTAACACACTTCTTATGATCAATGGAAACTTTCTTTCATTGCATAAACTTTAGGATCATTTTCATCCGATACCTTATACAGTGTCCACTGTTATTGAAACAGGACAACCTGTTTCCTTAAATCAAAATCATACCCATTATATTTTTGTGGATGAAGGTAAACGTTTAAGATATGGTGGATGTGAATCAGCTCGATTTCGTGCAAGGCTGGAAAAACAAATAGCTCTTCCAGAAGAAGGTTTGTAAATTTTACATTATTTTGTTTCGTTTCTTTTTCTCAATACTTTATATGTGAGACTATTTTAATTAAAATCAGTAACGAATAGTTCTATTATATTAAGTGATTTATTAGAAAATCCATCAGTAGGTGGCAATACCAATCATTTAAATAAAACATTACGAACAAGGGTAGCGTAATAATTATTTAGTTTTAATTAAAACAGTTTTAGTAGGCTATGCAATTATAATTTGGTGCCTCAATATAGTTTTAGTGAATATATCATCACCTATTGAAATCAGAAATAATACGATTTTTATTTTGCCACTGGGTATGTATTGTAGAAACAGTATAATGAACTATCAGTACTCTGAAAATTGATCAACTTAATTCATTATCTAAAAGTACTTAATAACTCACCAATCTAACGCCTGGTGTTCTGATCACCACAGTTACGCTTAGAAAGTTTGATGATAACATCGACACTTGTATGTACATCCAGGTGACTAATTGTGAATATATCAGACCAAATGAATTAAATATCAGCGCAGTTAACTTCTAGCATTTTTCTTACCTAATTTTGTGTGATTTGCAAATTCTTCCTAAATTTTATTTGTTGAGGTTTTCAAAATACTCATAAAAATATTAAATAATTTTGGTGTTTCTTGAAAGTTCTTCATATTACAAAATGGAATGCAGAATTATTTACCGTTTAATAAACGAATGGGTTTAGAAAACAGATTAATCAGAAACTTGCTAAGGCGGTTGCAAGATTTTATTTGAAAGGTTAAGATCTCTTCTGGAACGATAACCGCTTGCATACTTACTACCAATTCCACTTCCCGCATGATCTTGTTTTAGTTCGCTAATTTGCTACATGCTCGGAGGTTATTTTCTGCTACTATTGTAACAACTTTGTACCAACTTCATTTGAGTTGCTTGTTCTACTACAAATATCAAGTTATTTGCAGCTTCGTCTTCTTCCTGTTTTAGCCGTCGAGGTTTGATGTATTGAGTATAATTGACCGTTGTCAGTTCCGAAGAGAACCGATCGTATTAGAGAAGATCAATCGTTTTTGTTCTTAAACCCGTAACATCGTAGGCGGTAGTGAACCCCAATAATAAGACACAATAAGATTAAAGTATACATATTAAATCATTTGGCAGGAACTGATAGAAGACATGTTGAATGGAGACGGTATGGTTTAAAAGGTAACAAAAAACATGGTTTCACAGTAACAGAATTAGTACAGCGAATGTTAAAATAATAAACTGTCAAGACATGTTTTGGTTGTAGAGGTACTAAGAATGAATGATGAATAAAGTGAGTATTCTTTCAAATCAGTTAAAACTTTAACAAGTATGTAATTTTTTAAAATTTTCTTGCATGTAAAGTGTATCTATTTACATTGACTTTGAGACTCAGACAGTTGTAATTTAAGTAACACTGATATAATGTACAAGGGGGAGTCTTGTGTTAAAAAACCATAGTTTTTCTTCAGTATATCACGCATACGAGTGGTTGGGGTAGTTCGATTTTTAAAAGCAGGGTATAGGTTTTTTTTAGTTCAAAATTTACCATTGTATTTAAATTAACTGTAAATATTGACCGATATAAAATTAATGTATATCGGGATACTGATTATTTATCTATATATTCATCTGTATTGCTGTTAATTTTCAGCTGGTGGTTTTGGCATTCCGGTTGTCCTAGTAATTGTAGAAGGTGGTCATGATGTGTTTATTGATGCACGAAATAGTATTAAAGAACGTGTACCGGTTGTAATATGTTCTGGTACTGGGAGAGCAGCTGACATTCTAGATATGGCATTTAATTTTCGACTTAAACATCAGTAAGATTTTTTTCCTTAAATCTTGTTTTTCTTGTGAAAATAAGCGAACAATTTTGTTATGATCAACAACTGAAAGGAATTATCGTATTGCAACTAACGTTGAGGGATAAAATTCACTCTTTTCTATGGTTGACAGAAAACAAACATCTACTATGAATATGTAGATCAAATTGCTCAGATAGATAAAACGTTTAAATATCATCCGTGATTGACTGGTTGCTTATTTAATCCTCATCAACTAGATTCACGAATATTGTAGAAGATATTAGTGAATTTTTATTAATCCCCTCGCCCAGAATAAATTACTTTCACACCAAATGTTTGTCCAAATCGGCTTGCAGCGACAAGTTGTACTCAGCATACTGTACCTTAAAAGTAGAATAGGTACACTAATTATGAATGAAACTTAATCATGTAACTGATTGATTGTGAACAAGATTTCGACTGCAAAGTTTACAAATTTCGGAACTGGAAGACTGTAAAGTCACTATAAGTCTTTCATTGAAGTGATTTGAGATCAAAAGAAGTGCCACATATGACCAATCCACCAAATATTAAGAAAGCTATCAATCAATGACATAATCTGAGATCGAAACTTGATTGTAATCCAAGTGGAATTATGGATACTAAGTATGTATTATCTAGATGCATAAATGAACTTGTATAACATCGTGTTATCATACAATTAGTTATTTATTTTCTATTCTTTATTTAATTCTCATTAATTTATGAATTTAATTTAATAATTTAGTCAATTTACATCATTTACCGAAAGAGAATGTTCAATACTAAGTCAAAAGTTGAAAATTGTTTCTGGTAAAAATAAAGTTGAAGCTGCATTGAAAATGATTCAATTTATTGTACAAGATACAAAATTAATTACAACTTTTGATATGAATAAATCAGATGATTTAGATTTAGCTATTCTATTTGCATTAATTAAAACTTCTTCAGAATTAGATAAACAATTAAGATTAGCATTAACATGGGATAGAAGTGATATTGCTGAAGCAAAAATATTTCGTCAAGGAAAACAAGTTAAACCAGGTTAGTGAAGAGTTATTATCATTATTATTTGGTGTATTTATCACACACGTATGTCAATAGTATGCCGTATTTGAAAGGATTTAGTATTGATCACTAAGTTTTAAACGTGATAAGCCAATCAAGATATCAGTTCAACATAGTGTAAATGGCTTAGTTTTGGTTCTGCCATAAGTAATTCATATGAAATTCTTGTAGGGAAATATTTCTTTAGAAATTTAAACTGATCAAAGTTTTTATTGACTGATCTCCGTTACGGATGATAATTATCTTTCCTTGATGTATTTTTCATATAGAGTGCTTAATTGAAATAGATTTCAGAATATTAAGTAGAAAATCTTTTTGCTAACTAAATATTAAGCTTCAATAGATTTTTTGGGAGACGTTTTAAAATTTAGAGATCCAGGTGTATTAAAATGAAATGATAGCAGTCATGACAATAATGATACACTCAGTAGTGGTAATATTTGAAACGATTTACTGGATTCACACTATTTTCACGAATCATCAAGAACAACCCTCTGAATCGTTTTGTATACAAATATTTCTGTTAATTCAATTGAAACAGCCTAATAAATGATTAAAAAGCCATACTAAAATAGGCAGCAAACTGTAAATAAAATCATTGGTCTGAAATGATTGGATTGTGCTGTAGCAAATAAAACTTGCAACATACAACCATCTAGTTGATGTTTCAACTCTGTTGCATTCGCTTTAATTTAAACAATCAAATGGTATAATCAGTTATCACATAGAAAGTGTGCTTGGTTTCAGAGTTGCCAAATCCAAGTGATAAAACGTTGCTTAATTAGAAAGTATCCATTAATTAATGCCATTGGCCCTATCTTAATTTAATTAATTGACTTCGTGTGACTGAAAAATACTGAAGTGATCACGAATGTTTTCAGATATGTTTGTCCCATAAGCTTACGACATGATTGAGAAATACTAAGTTTTGTATGTTTAACGAATCGATGTAAAGCGTCACGATTAAGAAAATTTGAAGGAATAGTGTTTTTGTTTTGACTTACTTGAGCTGGTGGTCCCGTTACATTAACAAGTTGAAAACGATTTACTTGATATGATTACTAATTATGGTCAAAAGATTGTGGGGTTGAAATTATCTAATGTCAAGTATTTACTTTCAGTTTGTTGGGTGATTTTAAGGTTTATAGATTTTATTTATCTATACGGTTAAAACTTAGCACTACTGAAATACACACTATTTTAATAGATTTATCTTTTCAGTAATCTGTTGTTGCTTGTTTTACAAATACTCTTACTATCACTATACTACAATACTATCACCAACCGATTAAAATGAGTTCTAGAATCCTTATCATTATTTACCAATATTGTTATGCTACTGTTAAATTGAAATACTTATAAGCTATATATCTTTATTAGTAAATTTTGATCACCGTACCAGTCTAGTTTACTTGAACATCACTGTTTAATTCAATTGCACTGAAATGATATTTTCTACCATCATTTGAATAGAATTCTATCTGGTTTCATCATCGGGTTGTTAAAGTTGCTATGCTTAAACATGTTTGTATCAACAGCTCCCAACATCAATACAGATCCAAACTATTTGAATTACTTTTTGAATTTAAGGATTGGAATTAAGTCATAAAGTTATTTCTCAGTTTGATCGTTTGCGCGTTACTTCATGAGTGACTGCCACTAAGTTAACTGATTTCGCAAAGATTTTGCAATAATCAAAACTCTCTTTACATTTCAGTCGTCGACTCTGCTGGAGTCGAGTTCTGTTATTTAGGTGCACAATTTTACCTGATGTCCTTTTTGTTTACAATGACAAAGTATGCACTTTTTAATCTTGATAATAACTCTATATACTCCATAAGTTTATAACATTATAATCAATCTGTTTCATAATATTTTTTCATATACTTAATACTACTTTATCAGAAATTTTAGAACCAATTATGATGGAAGCTCTACTAAGAAATAAAACTGATTTTGTAAGAATTTTATTACAAAATGGTGTTGTAATGCGTCAGTTCCTGACATTTGAACGTTTACATCGTCTATACAATGAATCAACGCAGTCAAATGATTTAATACGATGTTTAAAAAATTATAAACTACTGACTAGTGAACATTTAACAGTATCGAGTACTAAACTCCATTTACCAGTTATGATGAATAATGAAATGACTGGTGAAACAGAACAATCATTCACACCTCCAAGTAGAATATATTTGTCTACTATATGCAAATTGTTACGTCGTATGCTTGGAAGGTATACCAATAAAATATATGATATGGACACAGAGGTATGTATATGTGAAAAATGTATATTGAGCAGAGTATAATTTGATCTATTTGGTTATAAAGATAGTAAATAATTAAAATAATACTACTCCCTATGAATAATGATCCGCATCAGCTACTTTGGTCTATGTTTCATCAGGCTGTACTGAACAAAACCTATGCCACTGCGTGAATATGAAAAGCGATCACATTTTATTGTACATAATTTTTTTTATTTGACTGGTTTTGCTAATCACTTCCTTATACATAGGTCTATTTTATGAAGATTTCGATACCTGAATTATTTAAATCTTGGTAACTTGTTCAGTCAGTTGTTTAATCAATAGACATTGGTTAATACTAAGCTCGAAATACCAATGAATACCTTTTGACATTTGAACTGTTGACAACTAGATTTTTGAATGGACGGAAACACCAGAACCGATATCTGTTCACATACAGCTGACGATTTCCAGGTAACGTGGAAATCCCATCTTGAGTTCTATTCCTTTTTAACAGCATGTTTCTAGGACGACCCTAAGTTATCTAGTTGTTGTCAGTAAACTTTAATTTCTTTCCTGTTGCAGCTAAACTGAATACATTTTTTCTTATTTATATTTTATCGCAACGTTCGCTGTTTTCCAATCGGTTACGTTTAATTCTTATTTAATTTGTTCTGTATACAGAGTCATTTTACTATAACTTAGTCTTCGTTGAATATCAGGTTTTTTCTGCACTTCTATCTCCTCCCTGATTCCATCGTTCAGGGATACTTATTGAAGCGTTGGTAGAGTCATTGATCGTGCTGTGGAGTTCTCATTGGTCAGCGGTCGTATCAGACAAATCTCAGTCGTTCACAATCAGTAAACTACCTTAAGCTAACTGAATCATTTATCAAGACTTAAGAAACACATTTTGAATTTTATATTGTTACGACAATCCAAGCAGAAAATGAAAGTTCACCAGTTACTAATGACTTGTAGTGGATGAAGCATTACTAACAATATACATCAATAAGTTCTTTAGTACTAACTACCGTAACCGATAAGATAATTTGAACTTAATTGTAACTTAAGCAGATACAAGAGACTCGTATGCAATAAGCGTCAATGAATATATTTCGTTGCATTATTTCAGCGGCTTAGTAGTGATACAAGCGTAAAAGTTGTAGCCAAGATTTGTCTCTAATACTTAAAATAACAAAAGCATGTCTTTTTAAATAAATTGGAAAAAAATTCTCACAAACTTCCATTGCTAAAATGTGTTTCAAACTGTTTAAGCAGCCTATTAAACGAGACAACGTCGTATTATTTATTCTTTTATTCAGCTATTACATGGTCTAAGGGCTGACTGGAATCGAGTAAGTAAGCTAACGTTTGTTTCGCCATTTCAGGTGAGTTTAAGTTTGCTAATGAAGCAAACAACTTTTGTCTTGATTTCATGACTTATAGGTTAAAATAAAGCTTAGAAATAGAATGAAAAAAATGCATTGGTCACAGTATCAATAAGTTATACAACAGAAATATAGTTTTTGATTGAGATCATGAACCGATTGATGTTAGACCACCTTTGGAAACCTGGAAGCACTGGACGGCCGTTTCATCCTATTGTGGAACTCTTCAGCAGTGCACATCCACGATCCCGCTCGTGGGACTCGAACCCAGGGCCTTTGGTCTTGCGTGCGAACGCTTAACCTACTGGACCACTGAGCCGGCATCTAATGGTGATAGTGTCTAACATCAACCAATCCATGAAATTGCGTGACCAACTTCCATTGTACTGTCTCTATCCGATATGTATTAGCTCCACTGATCACGGCTTCTCACTAGAACTCCGAGAATTCCCTCACGAAGCTAGTCACTAGTGAGCACATGTTGATTAATAGCATAGGGGTTGCGGAGATCTCAATCAAAAACTTAATAATCTCCACAACCCCTATACTAGTAAAAATATAGTAGTATGAAGAGTCGGGAAGTGTCAAGCACCATCATACACCTAACAGCACCCGAGATCGTCTCGTTCACGACTGACTTTTGTTCTTAAACGGGATTTCACAATAATGTGTACTCGTTATTTTAACGAAGATTACAAACATAAACCTCAGATGTCACAATGATCCGTCAGGTCTGAGGGTAGTGGGCAATAATTTTAACTCAGAAGATTTTGATCAAGGTTTCAATTTTATACATAATCATGAGCCCTGTGTAAGGAAGAATGAGTTGTTCAGCGGTTCTTGATTTCCATTGTAATATTTACATTCAGTCAGTAACAGACAATAACTGAATATAGATTTAATAAACAAATAATAACATCCCTAAAAAATTATTCACAAACCCACCAAACATAATTCCTATTGGTCGGAAATCACGAGAATACTCCTAATGACAAGGAACTAGAAGCAACACTTAGGAAAACAAGTGATATAAAATTAGAAAAATGGTATCATTATGTCTACTTCCAATGATAATTTCAAAGTTTATTACTGAGAAGAGTGTCCAAATGTGTATGATATACACTGGATATAAGACCTACTTACGAGATTACCACAACTACAATGTAGGCCACATCCAGTCTGTATCCAGTACACCGGACATGCATCTGACCTGAGAAAGCAGATTACCACAGAACATTGAAATTTCACTGTTTGATCTACCAATATTGGGTGAATAGATATTCACAATAAGGAACTTACTTACTTGATAACGTCTGTTACCCCTCATAAAGAAGTAAAGGCAGCTCACCAGTATCCTCCATCCAGCTCTGTTCTGGGCAATCCTTTCCAGTTCTTTCCAATTGCTATTCAGTCCTTTCATGTCTTTTTCCAATTCTCAGCACAGTGTGTTCTTCGGACTTCCTCATTTCCGTTTCCTTTCATGATTCCAAGTTAGCGCTTGCCTCGTGATGCAGTTTGATAATCTCCTCAATGTATATCCTATCCAATTTCAATGTCTTTTCCTAATTTCTCTCCTACATTAGGCTGGTGATGATGGTATTCGGCCAAAGGACATTGGGTATCTTGCGTAGACAACTGTTTATAAATACATGTACATTTTCGATGACGGTTGAAAACCTTCCCTGGTACTGACAGTAATGTGATGCCTGTGTAGTTCTCTCATTTGCTCAGATCTCGTTTCTTTGGTATCTTGATGAGTTATCCTTCTTTCCAGTCTGTCAGTGGCACTTGTTCTTCCTCCCAAATCTTCCTGAATAGAACGTGATGCAAGCTTGTAGTTGCTTCCATGTCTGACTTCAGTGCCTCGGCTGTTATATTGTCAGGTCCTGCTGCACTCCCACTCTCGATTTGTCCGATGACCGGCCATCCTGATTTCTTCCACCGTTGGTGGGCGACGTCTATAGGAATGTCTGTATATACCGCCTCGATATCCTGTGGATTCAATGAACCTGGTCCATTCGAGAGTTCCTCTAAATGTTCCACCCATCTGTTCCTCTATTCTCGAACTTCAGTGATTGGTTCGCCCTGTTCGTCCTTGACTGGTTTCTCTAGTTTGCGATGTTTCCCTGCCAGTCTCTTCATCGTGTCACATAGTTTGTTCATATTTCCTTCCCTTGCGGCTTTTCCACTGTCATTGGTAACTCTTCCATGTATTTCTGCTTGTCGGCTCTAATGCTTCCATTCACTAGCTTGTTAGCTTCTTTGTATTCAGCTTGTACTTGACTTTCTCTGTCCTTGTTCGGCTGTTGTTAATTGCCGTTTTCTTGTTCTTCCTTTATTGAATCCTCTCTTGGTTTTCTACAGAGATCCATTCCTTATGATGATGTTTGTTGCAGCCCACCACCTACTGACACGTTGAAGTTAGTGCTTCTTTGATCCTTTTCCAGTTGTCCTCTATAGTAGTTTCTTCTTCTTCAAGTGGGTCTTGTAATGCTTGGAATCTGTTGTTGAGATTTATCTTGAACTGATTGGGTTCGTCAGTATGTCGAAGAAAGGTTGTATTGAACCTTTGTTATGATGTTTGCCCATTTGTCTAGTGACGGTAAAGAACACCACATAATTAATAGAATGAACGTAAGAAACCTTTACATCTTAATTAAATACAGATTGTAGATTGGTTTGTGATTTAGAGCTGACTTCTGGGAGGCGGTGCTTATTTAAATAACCTTGTTGCAAATGTTTTCTCTTTCACTTAAGGAATTATTTTTGTGGGCTATACTTTATCAACGTCATAAAATGGCTTTATATTTTTGGGAACGAAGCGAAGATTCATTGACACTAGCTTTGATTGCTTGTTGTCTGTATACAGATATGATTAAACTATTACCAACTTATGATACAGAAGGCAAAACGAAGTATGAAACTTATGTGGAAGAATTTGAAAGTTTAGCGATTGGTGTATTAGAGGAGTGCAATGGAATTGACCCGGTTAGTTTATTTTAATGGTGAAAATAGATAGATTAATGAATTGTTGTTAATATTGCCATTGAATTTGAAAACGTCACGAAAACCTTTTCTTTAAAATGTATTGTTTATTGTCAGTCGTAAAGATCTAGCTACAAAAACGTCAACCAGTCGTAGTCAGTTGAAGTATGCTTATTTGTTTAGATTGATTTGTTTTGCTACTTAATATCAGTAAGTAGTCAAAGTGTCCCAATAAATAACTATATAATTTTGCTATTCAAATACCAGGAATTCACATTGTATTTGGTTGAAGGTGAATCATCATTATGGGGTGGTTTCAATTGTCTTCAACTTGCCGCTCAATCTGTTCGACGTAAATTTATTAGTTCTCAAGCCTGTCAAAACTCTTTGGATTTCGCATGGTGTCATGGTATGCGTGCCAATATGTTGATAACGTCTGCCATCTTGATTTTACCATTTTTATTGTACTTCGATCATATTTTGTCATGGGAAGATAAACGTCCACATGTCAGTGTAAATTATAATCATCGAAGTGTAACTAGATCTACTAAAAATGCAGGTGATGTGCTGGATCAAGAGAGTATTTCTCATCAACATTCCAAACATTCAGCACCTGTTCAAAGAAATTTTAAAGAAAAAATTAAAATGTTTTATACTGCACCAAAAACCAAATTTTGTCTTTACACGGTGGGTGTTTGGTGTTTATTAATCTAAAGCATCAAAATGTAATTTGAAATATTCGAAGACATTTTGATAAGTTTTTATATATTTACTCTTTTGCAATCCTGTTTAAATACTTTGACTAAATATGACAAAAACTCGTTACTTTTTATTTTGTATCTTTCTTTTCTCATCTGTTAATGATCCTAAATTTTGATGCTATTAAATACTTTGATTGATCTACTAAGCTACCAAAGCCACGAACCGCATGATATTCTGAACTTAACCAAATGGAATCTTTTCTACATTCTTAAATACTAACCCATAACTCATTTCTTCACCAATGAATTACTCTCGCTAAAGATTTAGGTATTGACAAACATACTAAGATAGTTAAGTTTCACAGTGTAAAATTTTAGTCTCTAGGCATTTTTGTACTAATAGTTTCGTCATATAAGTTCATGTACATAAGGTCACACTGATGCTAAAGTTGAACCTTAACAAGTTTAGAAAATGATCAATGTTAAACTTCTGATTCTACTGATTTCATAGTCTGATACCGTACAGTCGAACAGTTTATCCTTTCTTTTACATAAATGAAATATTTTAATCGTTCCACTTACTGTCATTTACACATGTAACCTGGGAATGTGTGTATAATAGTATGTATGCGTCTATATGCCTACTCGTATCTTTCATATCTATAACGTTGAGTCAAGTTTTACTTAAATAGAGCAGGTACTTTTACTTTTTCCAAATCTGTCATCGTCTTTCTTGATAAAAGAATGTCTGAAATAAATCCTGACTTGATTCGTATTCGGCTTTTTATTATTGCCGTCACCCAGGCGGAGTTGGTCTGAGTAAAGCATAACAAAATCGAACGAAGAAATTATGTTGATGGTTTATTCCTCGTTCGTTTCTTCACCATTCGTAATGGAGTTAAGTCGTTTCCATGAAATTGTAAATAATATCTATTCTTCCTTAACTTGAAATTATAGTAACTTGTGTGTTATTTATATAATGGTCAACTATTAACCTAGATAATTATATCGCCTTGAAGTTTTTTTGCCTATGTAACAGTCATCTTGGGTGAGAATTGATTATCTTAAATCACATTTATATAATTAGTTTATCAAAGTACTTCAGCGTTTGGAAACCGTTGAATAGAAAAAATATATCATAAGTTATATGAATTGTTTCATGATGGCCTGAGATATAACGAAATTGTTTCATGATTTAGTTTCACTGGTTGTCAGACTGGTTGATGTTGATTAATAGCGATTAAACACATAGACCAATACATCTCACCACAGTAGTAAGAGGATAAACCAAAATATCCAAAGCAGTGGTAAGGCGTCCCTAGAGTAGAATGGAATAACTATTATTTCGTCATGATTTTCAACGATTCACCAGTTGATAACAACCTGAAAGGTTTGTTAAGTTGGAAAATGGTTAGATTTTGTAATTTTTTAAGAATACGTCTGATTATCTTTCGGAAAAATCTTATTTATTCTAACTACTGTTTCATTTTATACCTTTTTTCACATTATAGATGGTCTATGTGATATTTCTGCTATTCTTTTCGTACACTTTATTATTCAGTACTATACCGGATCAAATCACTATACATGAAGGTTTTATAATGGCCTATTTTATAGCTATGATAATAGATATAATTAGACAGGTAAATGTAACCAAACAAAGATACTAAATTACTCGTTAATTCTCATTATTTTAAAGACGTATAAATTGTTCGCAGTTACATTTTCCTACAAGGATAATCATAAAACATATAACATGTAGTCCTGATACCGATGAATATTCTTCATTGTGATTTATTTAGTATGATCTGAGACCGAAAATCACTGGAGAGCTAATAATGAAGGTATTTATATGTATATATATTTGGATAAACAGACATAATATAATGCAGAATGAATCGTTTATAAGCGTACTGAAATTCTCTATAAGATTTGTCTGTTTAATGACAAATTATGTCCGATGGAAATACTGATCTATAATTAACATACGTACATGGAACGTCCAGACAATGTGTGACAACGGGAGGACCAGTCAGACACAATTTAGCAGTACTCGAAATCAGCGAAACCCATCAGACCCAAGCTGGACAGCAAAGGCTAGATACACGAGAAATGCTGCTGTACTACGAATACGAAGGGAAAAATGCTCCACACACTCAGGAAGTCACTCTAATGCTGTTCAGAGAAACACGTAAAGCACTTAAAGGATGGGAATGTCAAGGATCCAGGATCATCAAAGCATCCTTCAAAACAAATTGGGAGGGAATTACAATGAATGCTATCCAATTTTACGCACACATCAATGATAGCAATGACGACGACAAAGATCAGTTCTATGAGAGGCTACAATCGATCATAGCGAAGTGCCCAGGAAAGGAACTGATAATCCTAATGGGAGATCTAAATGCCAAAGTCGGAATGGACAACAATGGTTATGAAGATATCATGGGACGACGAGAAACGAAAATGGGGAGAGATTTGCAAATATATCGAGACCCTAGAGAATATTTAATAAAGGAAGAACAAGAAAACGGCAGTTAACAACAGCCGAACAAGGACAGAGAAAGTCAAGTACAAGCTGAATACAAAGAAGCTAACAAGCTAGTGAATGGAAGCATTAGAGCTGACAAGCAGAAATACATGGAAGAGTTACCAATGACAGTGGAAAAGCCGCAAGGGAAGGAAATATGAACAAACTATGTGACACGATGAAGAGACTGGCAGGGAAACATCGCAAACTAGAGAAACCAGTCAAGGACGAACAGGGCGAACCAATCACTGAAGTTCGAGAATAGAGGAACAGATGGGTGGAACATTTAGAGGAACTCTCGGATGGACCAGGTTCATTGAATCCACAGGATATCGAGGCGGTATATACAGACATTCCTATAGACGTCGCCCACCAACGGTGGAAGAAATCAGGATGGCTGGTCATCGGACAAATCGGGAGTGGGAGTGCAGCAGGACCTGACAATATAACAGCCGAGGCACTGAAGTCAGACATGGAAGCAACTACAAGCTTGCATCACGTTCTATTCAGGAAGATTTGGGAGGAAGAACAAGTGCCACTGACAGACTGGAAAGAAGGATAACTCATCAAGATACCAAAGAAACGAGATCTGAGCAAATGAGAGAACTACACAGGCATCACATTACTGTCAGTACCAGGGAAGGTTTTCAACCGTCATCGAAAATGTACATGTATTTATAAACAGTTGTCTACGCAAGATACCCAATGTCCTTTGGCCGAATACCATCATCACCAGCCTAATGTAGGAGAGAAATTAGGAAAAGACATTGAAATTGGATAGGATATACATTGAGGAGATTATCAAACTGCATCACGAGGCAAGCGCTAACTTGGAATCATGAAAGGAAACGGAAATGAGGAAGTCCGAAGAACACACTGTGCTGAGAATTGGAAAAAGACATGAAAGGAATGAATAGCAATTGGAAAGAACTGGAAAGGATTGCCCAGAACAGAGCTGGATGGAGGATACTGGTGAGCTGCCTTTACTTCTCTTTTAGGGGTAACATTCGTAAGTATGCAAGGAAATGCGAGTATCCATTTTCACATGAACCAATAACACGACTAGGATGTGAGTTTGTTACTTTAAAAAATATCGACCATTGCTCTAAACTCTGTATGGCTATTTCGTTGGTTTATTTAAACTTCACTGTATGTATAATCATATTTTTCTCATTATAGATATTTTTATCACCTGGGGATGGGCCTAAAAAGATAGCAACTTGGTGGGATCAATACGAATGGGGTCGGTCGGAACTCTTCGTTATTTTGCTAGCGCTTTTAAGCATGTTTCTACGTATTGGATTGAATACAACATTTATTTATTCTAAAACATTTTATGTGTTGACATGTAAGTTTCTTTTTTAAATGAACCATTACTTCATTAAACATATATTGTTAACAAGTATGACATTAGTAAGTATTGTGTTAATCCCTAGTCACTGGAAAATGATCAATCATTTATAAACCGATGTTAAATAATAATTAACGAACTTTGATTATATTTGTTGTATAAATGTTATTCACCATTTGAACCATAAATTTTCACTCTGAATGTTAAGTAATTTTTCTATAGAAGAAGTTTATGTTAGATACTACATTAAAAAGGATGAAATGTTGTACAATATTATTTCACAGTAAAATTAAATAAATATATTTAAAAAAATACTAATTAAATTAAAGTTAACTTATGATCTATATCAATAATAGAACTCCAGGAAATACCTCTTGAAGCCAGTCACTAGTGAGCATATGTTGATTAATATCAGAAGCAGTGGCCAACGGAGTTCAACCGGGTCTGTTGTTGTTATAACCTGTCGTTTGAATGCTTATTGTCTTGGCTCTTTTGATGCTAGTTTTTGTATTTGGTCGTCGCCGATTGTTATGTCGGAAACGCTTATCACTTATACTCGGAACGAGGGACCTCCGCAATTCCCACAACGCGAAAGTAAGAACACAAAGACTGGTATATGTGATGATTTATTAACCCCAAAACACGACGACGACGATACAGTCATTTATATATTGATTGTACATCCATTTTGATTTATAATTAGGAAGAAATTAAATATATGCAAAATACTTAGAGTTATAACAAGTCACATACTGAACATAGTTCATGTCAATGGAATACAAGAATATCGCATATTATACAGAATAAAATATCATACGAGAAAAGAAAACAAATACTAGATTGAATAATCATTACTTTGAATCAAAAACGGAAGTAATCTTGAACAAAACTTATAATGAGTAAATCAATCGAAAATTGACTTTTCTTTCCATCATATCAGTTGTGTGATAGTAACTCACTGAAGTCAATGGTGGATGTGTCACTCAATTTTGTGGATTCGTTGAAGTTAGACATTAACACCATTGGATGCCGGTCAGCTCAGTGGTCTAGAGGTTAAGCGTTCACGCACGATACCTACAGGTTCTGGATTCGGATCTCGCGAGGCGGGATCGTGGATGCGCGCTGCTGAAGAGTCCCACAATAGGACGAAACGTCCGTTCAGTGCTTCCAGGTTTTCCATGGTGGTCTAGCTTAAATTGACTCATGATCTCAACTAATCAAATTACTATAATATTCACAAAACCCCTTCTGAAAATAATTAATCAATCAAATTAATTGTTTCCTTATATTTGTTCTAATTTTGTACAAACTAAACTTAATGATGTTAAGTTAGACACCATTTTTCAGGTAGTTTTCTGTTATAATAATGTTTATAATGAACATCCATATGTTTGTATGTATCATTTCTTCAGGTTTGACTTGACGTTCAAATAAATTAAGTAATAAGTAGATTGATTCTCAAAATAGAATTAATGTTACATTTGTATTATCTGAATTCAATACAACCCAATAGGATATTAGAAATATATAATTATTAGTTGTGTTTTTAATTTGATAATTTTCATCCATATTTTTGTTGAAATAACCTTATGATAAAATTTGCAATTTATCTAACTCATTTATAATTCATTCATTTCATTAATATTTATTTTCTTATTATAAATACAATCAGTAATTACATGCTACATTCGCTTATATGGTTTATATTCTTATCATCCGAATTTGGGTCCGAAACTAGTCATGATAAGGAGTATGCTTGAAGAATTGATTTCATTTATATTCATATTGATTGTTGTCTTCTTAGCTTATGGAATTTCTTTACATGTCTTACTCTATCCTTATCGTCATGAATTTTCATGGAGCGATGTTCGTGATGTTCTGTATTATCCATATTGGAATTTATATGGTGAATTATCATTAGATTATACTTTTGGTAAGTTTCTAAATCATTTTGCATTGATGTAAGTAATTTATCAATTACAGATTTGTATATTCGGCTTTCAAGTAAATTTCAGGCATGAGAGTTTATTAATACTACTTTACTGTTCTAACAGGAATAAGTTGAAGAGGGTTCGAACTTGCAAGTTATTCGTTGAAGATTGAATGTACTTACCATTAAGCCATCAGTCTGTTAAATATGTAATCTTATTGAATTATAAAATAATATGTCAGCAGACAATGTTAAAATTATTCAAAATGATTATTAGATAAATCATGGAGATAAGGTGTATAACTTAATTATTGATTAATATGTCATGATTCGACACAGCATTATTACGTCTCAAAATGATATAATAAAATATTTGTCATGATAAAAGTGGAAGAAATGATACTTTTAATCATAGAGGCTAATTTCGAATTACAATAAATAACTTGTAAAATACTGAATCACTGATCAATGAAACTAATATGTTTAGAAACTCACAATTAAGGATATAAGTAACGGTAATAACTAACCAACGATCTTTCGCTCTTTTCTTCGTGAAAAACAGTAAACTTAACAATTTCTAGTTTAACTCATAAGAATTCACACAATTTATTAAGAATAAATATATAATAAATTCAATAAGAAAGATTAGTTCAGCGAAGAGTTCTCTCTTCGGCGAATTCATTTTCAAAGCTGTGCAGTCGTTTTCAAAATGAAGTTGCCGAAAAGAGAACTCTTCGCTGAACTAATCTTTCTTATTTAATGTCTTAATGGGTGTATTCCGTTTATATATTAAATTACCGTAATGTATCAAAAATTTCGTGAATGATGAAGGTAAAAAGTGTGATTTCGAACCTAAAATGGAGTGAAAACTTTGACACCAAAGGAACATGATGTATTGCAAAGTTATGAGTTGGATTTTGGTCTTGACTTTAGATAAACTAACATTAGTGGTATGGAGAGTAATATCTTCATCAACTAGAGTGCAAATGACATATGAAACTGTCTTTTTTCCAGTCGTCTGTAACATGTATTCACGTTTTAAGAAGAATTATGGATGCTTCATTATGTAATATAGCAAATTTGTTCACACAGTGAATTATTGAGTAATTATTTTTTAATACAATTCACTTCAATTTATTCGAATCTGACAGTTAATATAACTGCAAATAAATCATATAAAATGTGATGTATTCTTACATCATTTTGATTTATTATGAGAGTCAAATAAATCCTTATCACCAATCTTCGACCTATTTCTCTTGTGTTCAAGTTGCCTAGTAGGTTCAGCAACTAAGCTGTTTGTTTTATGATATCAGTATTTTTTAAAACGGAGCGATAATTCATAAACACTTTTTGATGGTTTGACTTAAAATAGAGGATACCTTGTTATTTCAAATGGAAGTTGCAGATTTACTCACAAATATCTTACATTTGCTACAGTTCTGTCCAATGGATTCCTGAAAAATAGGTAAATCCTATTTATTATATTTGACAGAAATATTGTCCATTTTCAACTTATGAATAAATAAGAGGATTTTGTAGTTTGTCGACCTATTTGATGTCTAGTGTTTTTTCAAACGAGTGTATTCTTGTAGGTATTACCTTTAAATGTGTACTTAACTAATCTACTAAGACTTGAAAACATAAATGTATGCTTTCAGTATTCATTTCTTTGAGTTAAACTGATAACTGTTGATTTCGGTTTTCACTAGCTAAGAATGATACTTGTGGAACCAATGCAGATGGAATAAATTGTCCGAAATATCATTTCTTGTGTCCTCTGTTTCTGGCTATGTATCTAATGATTGCTGGGACTCTACTTATTAATCTGTTAATCGCTATTTTCAGGTATTGTTTATTTATTATAAATAATCAATGTCTAAGATTATTTTACACACAGTCAATTCCATATGGTGCAAAAAAGTATTAAATATTTTAATGAATGTTTAGATTCAAGCAATCAGTTATTTTGAACTCTGTTTTTCTAACTAAAATGTCAACTTTTCTATGAATGAAAATAAAATGAGTTGTGAACTTTTCATTTTACCAATGATTTATAAACAATGAACTATAGATTGAACTCTTACATTTTTTTGGTAAAATAAAATGACTTATAAGTTCTGATTTTCAGTTTGATTCTTGTTTGACTTGTATAAATTAGGAATGGAAAAGATTCTAATAAGCGATGACCGAGAAAATTGATATACAACACAGTTCAAGAAAAAATCATTTTGATTATGATAATGGAAAAATCAGAAAATCATTAAGAAAATAGAGCTGAAAATTGTGTGATAACGAAAAGTGGACAAGATAATAAAATGTTAAATGATTAATGTACGATAAAGAGTTGATGTCAGTAAGATATAAATAGAACTACAAGTGGTTTCAGCTCAAAAGGTGGCGAAGTGAGAGATACCTTATCAAGACATCAAAGAAGGGAGATATTAGTCAGTATGAAAACTGCTTAAGAATCAAATTTCTGTAAGTTCTAGGAAAAGGTTTTAGCAGTGTAGCTGAACCGCATGTAAGATTCAGGAGACGCTCAACTTGGTGAACAGAAAACTGCGTTCCATAAGGACAGATCGTGTACCGATCAAATTACGACACCATGAGTCATTATTAAACAATCAGTTGGATGAAACTCATCATTGTGCATTAACTTCCTTGTTTATGAGGTAACATTCAATAGTGTGGACAGGAAAAATATATAGAACACTACGCAGTACCTGTGAATATTTCCGCCATCATAAGAAACTTCTAAGAGGAGCTAAGTTACAAATCTTTTCTAGAGGGCAGCTCACAAATGCATTCTGGTCGAGGACTGGTACTAGGCAAGACTACCTACTCTCTCTGTTTATTTTTTTTAGCATCTGAATAGATTATGAAGATCTTAGCATTTCAGAGGAAGTGTGTAATTTAGTGGACGTCTTGGACACAACTAGATGAATTAAAATTTGCAGACAACCTAGTCCTTCAAACTCATGCGCAGCAAATGGGCAACATCATTGGTAAACAGAGAGGGTCTGATGAATAGGTGAAGCAAGAACAGCATTACTACAATTGAGCAACGTGTGGAACTCAGAAGAAATGTTATCCATGATGTAAGTCAAAAGTTTCAACGGCTCTGCAACTTGGAGAACCACTATCAACAATAAGGTACAGGTACTCATAAATGATTGTCTACGCAAGATATGGAAGATCCGTCGGTCATAGACCATCAGCAATAACCTAATATAGCACAATTCAAACCACAAGTGGAAGAAACTAAGAAAAGACTAAAGTTTTTATAGAATACACTATGTGGACACAATCAAACTGCGTCACAAGGCAAGCCCCAACTTAGAACCCTCGAGGTTGGAGGATAAGAGATGGGTTGAAGAAAACATGGCGTTAGGAGTCCCAGGTAGACATCAAGACTGTAGATACCACTTGTCAACAGCTGAAAAAAAGTCCGTGTTAACTGCGCTTGGAGATCGTCTATGGCTCTAGAGGAATAATAAACCTAAATAAGTTTGACATAAAGAGTCAAGCTACTAAACCTCATTACAAATAATTCTTTTATTCTGTCAACGGCAGTTTAGAATGTTAAATATAATGTGAAGAATCAGAATACTGACTTACACAGTCTTGATATCTGTCCCTTGTTTATTTGAAATTAGATCATATAACACCCTAACTGTCATATATTATTCAATCGTCAGATTTCATCATATGACGTTTATTTGTGTTTTTCACTACATTCCATCATTTTTTTCATGTAACAGTAACGTTTTTAACGAAATTGAATTTCATTCGATTGAATTATGGAAGTATAATATGTTCTTTATGGTTGTTGAATTTAATAAGAAACCGATTGTCCCAGTACCATTATCAGCAGTTCAAGCTTTAATAGAACTTATTCTATATTGTACCAAAATGTCAAAAGTAAGCAAAAAGAATGTAAAAAGTAAGTAGCTAATTTACAAAAATTACGTGAACTTATGGTTATATCATTGTATTGGTGTAAATGTTAATTACTCTTGTATTCCATTATAATGCTAGAAATTTCTCTACTGTGAATTGGAGCAACATATGCAAGGGGATCCTATTGCATTTAAGGTACTCGATGAGTTCTTGAAGTTTCATGGCCATTGCACAAAAGCGAAAAAGTCTTCAGAATTCATTTCGTTATAATTGAAAGCAGTTACTAATGAGTAATAAAACATTTAGAAGTTCCATTTGTTCAAGTTGTTGTTGTTTAACTCAAGTCTTAATATAGAATTAATTTGAAGTGGATACAGAAAGGCAGAATCAAAGTTAGACGAGAGTAATATACTAACAAAGCTTTAGTTTGATATTTCATTGATTAGATTATACGAAATTATACATTTTTATTGAGTTTCATGGAGATGGTAGGAATCCGGAGACAGAATAAATAAGATAGTGTATTTTATCTTCTTGAAAAGAGAGTAAATATCATTTCAACTCTTCAATAAGAGAGTCAAAAGCAGCAAACTTCTTCGTCTGGAATAAGAGGTCGTGTCCTCATACTTACTTCATTTAATAAAAGAAGATTTTAGTCCCGAGCCAAATTAAGCATCCGGTCACTTTTTATAAATGGTTTATATGTGCAGCAAGTTTAACTTATCCACTGTGTACAAGTGATTACTAGTTCATAAACAGATTTATCTTAAGGTTAGTATATAACAAAAAGATGGACAAAATAGGCAAACGCGAGATAACCGTATGCTTTTCACACTACATAGCGATGACGGGTAACAAAACGTAGAGACAACTGTAGTGTGCTATGCGGATACAATTAAATCTGTGGTCGGAGAATCAGATTAAGCAATTAATGTATTAATGTGAGGTACATGAAAATTGTTTATAAGTATTACATGAAATGTCAATCTTGTCTAAAAACTAAACATTCTTTCCGAATATATTTCTTTTAAAACACTTATATCACTGCCTTTAGTTAATCTCAGTCCGTTTTCTCTACTCTTTCTAGATGTTAGTTCATAATTCAAAGTGTGTTGTTATAAGTATAAATGCTAAACATAAAGCATAGATTATGTATCATGTACATTATGTATAAACTGTATAGGACTGGTTTCGACTTCACTTTGTACAATCCGCAAATGAATAACAAACGATGAACTGCGAACCATCTCTATGAACTGACCACTGAAAAATTTCAGAGCTACACTAAATATTTGGTTAAAACTGTCACATAAACTTAAAAATATAATAAAAGACTGTAGTTAATCTATGATCACTAGTCAAACAAATCGCAACAACTTGGTTGTAAACATCGTGCTCGAAAAGGTGATGGGTTCGACACATGTAATTCATAATTACAGTGGCAAAACTTAATTTTAAAGAGTCGGGTAAAATGAAGGTTACTTTACCATTTAACTTTGTCTTCTCTATTGTTACATGATTTTGTGTGATATTTCTCTTAATAATTCAGTTTGTGTAAAGTTAATTATTAGGATTACGAGTTTTAACGAAATTGATAAACCACTTAAACAGGTTTACGGATGTTTTGAGAATTTCTTTTTTATCTTGATTAGGTCCCCGTTCAAGTGCATCAGGGAATTTGAAATTTATTGTTAAAAGTGAAACAGAAGATGAAAGAGATGACGGAGCGAAACTATTCAAATTTACAGAACGTGGTAACCGACGTCCTAGTTTAGGGCCTACTGTATCTTTTTCTCAGTTGTCACCAAATCATGCAGATATTGGTTTAATGGAGTCAGTTATACCCGAATCTTTACAGCATAATTGTAAAGAACAAGAAGCTGAAGACAATGATGATGAAGATGATTTACGCAGAGTCAGAGTCTTTGAAGCGAACTGTAAACGGAACATCTTGAAAAAAATGAAGCTCGATCGTGAGAAAACAATTGAGGCTGGAATACGTCAACTTAAAGCTCGGTAAGCTTTCATGAAAGAATAATTTTATTTTCATTCCAGCTACCTGGATTTGGTGTACTTTAATGTACCAGTTGAGCCATATTGGCTAAAATGTCTGTTGCTCTATTTCGTAGGATTCAAAGATTTCATTTTTTGGATATTGAAGGTTAATTAATATCCAACGAAATATACATTATTATGGGGTACCATATCAAAATGAAGTCATACTGTTGACTGAACTAAGGTTTAAAAGCAATAGGATATACTCCTTCAACAGACTATACATTTAGCTATACTGTTATTTCGGTTTTTAATCATGAGTTACAAAGGGCTGGTAAATAGTGAGAAATTGATTCCGTTTAGATGAAGTGATATAAAGATAGCTTAGATAACTTGTAATAAGATACAACTTATTCATGGTAATAAATCAAAATTAGAAATTTGCAAAGAAAACAAGTTATTGTAAGGCCTACATCCATAAAATCAGTGAAGAATAAGTCACCTCCAAAATGCATTTATCAATTCAAATTGTTAAATTCACCTTTGTTTTCGATCCAAATGTTTATGTTACGATGGTCATAACAATTGTATATGTTATCTTTTATTTTTATTGAATAATTTAGCCTTGAAGAGATGTTTAGCAGTTTAATGAGTGTTGGTGAAAAAGTTGAATCAGTGTCAAGAGACATTGAATTTTTCAGTTCAGGTAATTTTTTAACGATAATATTTTGGAATTATCTTACTTACTGTAAAATTGATGCACTTTGTTTGTAGACTGTAATTATTTGAGTTGTTATGTAAGGGTTTGAGGATAGATGGCTTTCGAAGAATTCACTGGATTGAAAGTTAAATAATTATTCATAAAATAAGATTTTCTAAGCTACTTTACTGACAAGAATGAATGCTACATGAAATAGTTTTGTGACGATCACATTTATTTAATTCAGACATAGTTTAAGTAACTTGAGAACAATTTGTGTTAATCATATTTTCTGCGAACAACCGATAGTGAGAAATGTGCTTAAAAGCATTTCTCCACATAGGTAAATAGAATGAGCATCTGATCAACAAAGTTTACTTGTTTTCAATCAATTCTGATTATTCGATTTCTTACTAAACAACGTTTTCTAGCTAGTGAAATCAAAAGTACAGAAAAGTCAACTGAATCTACCAATATAAATGTACAGGTTGTAACAGAACCTCAGAAATTACACACTGTGAGTTTGTAGCAAGTTTCAACTAAGTGATTTTTGCCGATATGCAATTGTTATTTATACATTTTATTGTTTCCTGATAAAGTTTAAGAATATAAATCTACCTATTTTATGGTCTTAACGGTTATTTTTGTTTTAAACAAACAAATAATGGAATTATAATGTTTTCCTGTATTTATGAATCACTATTTACTGAAACTATTGTTTTCGGAGTGGATCTTCGATAATTGATCAAATATTGGAGGAAGAATTCAGTATTCTGATTACTAGTGATCAGCTTCAAGATTAATGTTTGAATGATTTTCCTAATGTTATGTGTTAAAAAGAAATCATAAATTATGTATGTGATGTATAAAAATCAACTTCGGAGTGATCGTTAGTAAGGGGTTGTAGAAATAGTTGAATTTCATTAAAATCTTGAATTGGTTCATGATTTCTGTGATATGGGAAATATTATTGTACATTTAAAATAATTTAAAAACGTGGTTATTATTGTTTAGCTGAATGTACTTTCATCTGTTGATGACTGATTGAAATAATGGCTGGATAAGTTTATTATATTTGTTAGTTAATTAAATTTATTGTATATTCTTTTATCATACTGATACATCATTTCTTGTTTTTTTCAGGAAACACCAGTTATATCAATTAACGATCAGATTTCAACTGTTTTACAACAACATCCAGTAGAAACAAGTAAATTAAATCCTGTTGAATATCCTGAAGTTGGTAGTAGTGAATCAGAAATGGAACTTATTTTTGATGTATCAGAGCCACCAGAAGTTCTTCCAGTTTCTAGTCAATTAAGAAAATCAAGTCGAATCAGTCCTTCATCAAATATTTTACTGAACGTAGAAAATAATATTAATGACAACTACATATTTTATGATAAGTTGTCTTAATCTGGATGTTAACTGCAGAACTGTATTAAGTGTAAGGAGCACCACTCATACAGGTAAATGTGCAATGTTTGCAATTCTATTATTGATATCACCTACTAAGGGTTAATTCGTTTTTCATGTTATGGTTGAGATTGCCGCAATCGTATTATTACTATCAGTGTTACGTCACAACTATTTTCACTTCCAACTGTTTCTGAGTTAGGAAACTGTTTTGCTTACAGTACCAAGGACTTTATCATGTGTTAAATATTCAGTTGTTAGCATCGAGCTAAATTATCATTATTGCTTTTCTGAATGCTACCTTCAAATTCACTGTAATTGTATACTTCCATTAAAGTTTGTTTTAACTTGAAAGATTTTTAAAAATAAAGAATATTTCACTGAACAATTGTTTTCAATAACTAACTTCATCATGAGGCTCTACCGTTATAAGTCCATAATTATTCTGGTATTTTGCAAAGGTTAAAATAAAACATGCGCTAATGAATTTGACAATGTTATATGCATTTCTTGCGACATAAATAAGTACTTTGAAATTGTTTTATATATAAATTACAAAGTTCATTATTTAATAGAGGTCAGAATGTTTTGTAGTAAAGTTTCGAGTTACTGTTGATACAACAGTAATATCATAGATCGTGTAAATGAAATGCATAGTAAGAGAATTTCGTCTTGTTAATCGAGGTAATAATATTAATAATAATGATAATAATAACTTTGTTTGGATATAATATGTAATAAGAGAGTTGTTGTCAAAGTAATTTGATCAAAAAAAGAATTCGTGTGACTTGAGAAAAATAAATGTGTAAATTAAAAAAAGATATCAGCACAAAAGTGATTTGGGGGGGGAAAGAGTTCTATAATATCTAGTTTAGGCAGTTACTGATTCATTTGTGAATCAAGTTAAACATAGATGCTGAATAAACCTCTTCTGGATACGTAAGTTCAGTTTTCTGGAGTTGATCCAGATATCTTCAGCTATGTAGAGGAGCCGTAATCTAGTTCCCTTAAGTAGATTGTTTGGGACTTGATATAAAACAGAGAAAGCTTCGTCTATTTCAATATGATGTTCACTATCTACCAGGTGAGAGAGATTGATGCTGATAATAGAGCTAATGATTCCTTTTCCAAATCATGCTGGTACATGTTCACGAACGTACAAGGATAAGGCCCTTGGAGTACGGCCTATGTAACTAGCTTCACAGGAACAGGTGGATTGGTATATACGTGTGAAAGAGCCCATCATATCTAATGTCTCGTTGATTTGTTGTACATGTTCTGTTTTGGTTAAGAAGATTATATATAACTTGGCGACATGAAATGTTCTTTCAACAGATCTATTGAGTCGACGTATTAAAATATCACCCGCTATGTCCCTTGGAAACCGAGTTTTAGGTAGTGGGTTTCTTACTGATCATGTCAGAGTTTGATCATTTTTTACTTTCAGATAGAAATTTACCGACGAAATCATATTTATTACAGTTAGTTGATCTTCTACATATTTTCTACACTTCAATCTTTATGTATTATTCGAAAATTATTGTGACTGATATCAAATTTATTGGTTGTGAATAAATTTCTGTTCACTACCCCAATTGAGATCATACCTTATTGAAGCTGTTTATACACAATGAAATCTGTGAAATAACACTGAAGTAAAAAATCTTCCATAACCATCAACTAAAAAGGAAAATGTTTGGCGACATATATCACGTTATTTCAAAGTAAAAAATCTGGAGGCTAAAACAGCTCTTATTTTACACTTGTTCATTAAGTAAGAAAACGCTATTCATAGGTATCAAAGTTAAAGAAAAGCCTTTGAATTTCAAAACAATTTAAAGAATGAATGATTATTAAATTAGTTGTATGCCCAACAAAACTGTTTTGTAACTGTTTGTTAGCGGGACATAGATTGGCTGGTTCTTATCAAATCAGCGCTAGTCGATACTTGGAGAACACTCTAGAATCTTCTTATGTAAAAACTAGAGATATACCAACTTTTTTCTTTTTGTGTTTCTTACTTTCATTTAACCTTTTTATTTGGAATATAATCTCTTTCCTGTTCAACTGTGTTCTGATTTGGGGAGTTGTCTAGTGTATTTGTGTCCAAGAGAATACCACTCAATAGGGATAGCTGGGTTGTAATAAGAAAGAATTATAACACCGTGAAAGTGTCCAGAATATTCAAACTTTTAATTTAAATGAATAAAATACTTCAGTAAATTGAGTGTTTTACGAAGTCAGTGAAATTAGCTTTAACAAACTAATATAACAGAATATAAAATAATAACTAGGTTTTTAACTGATCATGATTCTTGTTCAATGTTACTTCCGTTTTTAATTCAATATGTTAACTACTCAGTGTAATATTTGTTCTACTTTCAATGTGACATTTTATGTAGTATAACATTGTTTTATTCCACTGCAGTGCTTATTTAAGATATCAAATTATTTGTATTAAATCAACGTGAACTATAGTTCAGCATGACATGCAACACATGATTTTGTTATCATTTTATATATGCGACATTTTTCCTAACCAATAATTAAATGGGGAATGTCATTTACCTCACGATAATTTTATTTTGTTTGTTATTAAAACTTTTCTCATCCTATTTTGTCCAATAAAGTGATTAGTTTTAAACTGGCGTATAAATCAATATGTAAATTAGTATATTTAAGTAAATATCCAATTGTATTAATCTTTGTGTTGTTACTTCTTGGCGATGGGAATTGTAGTGATCCTCGTATTCAGTTATCTGCAATACGCCACGCTTAATTTCATGAAGTTAGTACTAGTCAATAAGTATATAAAAATTTGAGGTGAGACTATAATTTATGGACGACCTTTGAGTGACGCCAAAGCGACCTTGATAGTGTCTACTTACTTAATAGGGCTAAATGAAGGTTATAAAGCAGTTTGAAGAATAAAGACAATGATTTACAGTTGATGGTAAGGATTAGAATTTAGATTTATGGTTTTCATCACGAACTGACATCAATTAAAATGCCAAGACGCTATTCGGATGAATGGATGGCTGAATTTCCAACAAAAATCCAAGACCTGTTATCCTAAATCTGATTGATTCGTCCATACATTATAATCCCGCTAAATTTGATTTTGTATTTGGAATTATACTGTGGTGTGGGTTACTTATATCGACATAAGAAGTATATAACGGTGGTCAGGCATTAAATGTATTTCAGTAGATGATCGATAAGGAAAGAACGTAAACGGAACGCGATTGGTATGAAAATCTATGAACAATAAAATCTGAGACAATGGACTAATATTTACAAAAGGAATAGTCAAATTGAAGACGATGGATTGATATTTTCCAAATGAACTATTTACTATATGTTTCTCAGATTTTATTAAGATACTCTGTAATTTCATGTTAAATACATGTTCTTTCTTATTCACTACAATACTGAATATCTTGATCTTCCATAAGAACATGATTTACAAAACAAAACAAATATTTCGAAAAGTATAAAATAATACAGTTCAGTAGTTAAAAAAATTAATAAGACATTCAGTATTTGGAAAAGTTTAAAAAATTTAAGAAACTACTGAATAAGAAAGTTTTAATTTTTTATTTGTTTTAACAATCAGAAATATCCCGGGTATAATTAAATATTCATTTTCAATCATTTACAGAACATTGAACATAAAGTTCAAATGACCAAGTAAACAACATTTTTCACTTTAGAAATAAAGAAAATATAAAAAGATTTTTTTAAAAATTAAAAAAAAAGAAGAAAAATATCAGAATTGTTTTAATGAGGTGAAGCATAAAAGCAATTATATTTATTTTTATACTTTTATTAAATAATAATAATCCTTATTTTATATTCTAAATTTTACCTTGAATATCATATAACATTCTAGAGATGATAATTAATTGATTCATTATCTTTATAATATCGGTAACTATTGAACACAATTAGATAACATTTTAAATTATTTCATATGAAATTGAATTTTGATCAGATAATTGAGGAAACAAAAAAGAAAAGAACAACAAGAGATTTAAGTACATATATATTTACATAATAAATTGATTATAAATTAAAATAAATAAATAAATAGAATACTTTCCTTATTCATTTAGTTTAATCTATATTTGATTATTGGTAAACTATGTTAATACCCCCAAATGACCTGGTATGACCGAGAGTGAGGAGAGTCCGCTCTCCCTCTCCAAATGCTCTCACATGGCCACGCATATATAGCCTCTGCCAGGGAAGTCCTACTCACTGTCTTCTCGTGGCGAGGGTGTTGTTTACGAAAATGGGAGGACGAAAAGCAAATGTTCGGCGCTTTAACCGGATTCCAAACTAATGGTGCACATGGGCTCCAGTATCCTGCGGGAACAAATAGCGTACAAACCAATTGTTGATCACCGGCTTCCATGGAACTGCATCTCCTTACGTTGCTCCACTGCCTTGTGGATCAGACCTTAAGGCCGAAGGCTCGGGGAGAAGCCCCCTAAGGAAACCACCTGGTTCGGTTTGGATCCCGAGCGTATCACAGCCCTCACACGTATCGAATGAGATTTGTGTGGTGCATATGTATTTGGTTCCTCCTTGTACCAATATCTATGTGTTAAAATAAATAAATAAACTATGTTAATATGGTAAAATAATTGTGTTTTAGATAAAGAAATTGTGAATTCAACTAAATTAGTTCTTTTAAGATTTTAATGATAATTTTATTGATATTAATTTATAATATAAACTATGAAAATTTCATAATCTTTATAAATCTTTTATATTATTTATTATATGTTGACTAATCACAAGTTTCAAGATATAACTATTGTAGTTTTAGTTGAGAATTTATGGCCAATGGAGTTTGATCTGTGTCGATTGTTAGACAGTTATCTATTACAGGATTGTGATTTATTGTGGATTAATTAAAGTTAGATCTTAATACTGTTAAATGTTGCCTCATTGATCTAGAAATTAAGGGGTCGGTTGATAGATAGATGATGTTGGACTTGATTCTCTGTAGTTGGGTTGTATGTATACACTCTTGATCAGTCTCATGTGAAACACTCGTTTATGGCTTTCACTATTTTAATTGTGATCTAGCCAATTTCAATTCGTTCTTCAAATTGTAAAAAATATATGATTAAGAAGAAATGGACTGGGTGGGAATACAAAGATTTCCAACTGAAAATGAGTTGGGAGTTGCTGAGAGTAATTTTATATTTTAGTTGATGTTAAATTTCGGTGATTATTTTATTAGAGTAATAAGATGTCATAGAGAACTAGCGAACAGAACTAGGCATTACTGATCTGGTTTCATTTTACATTACCAAATCCGTATTTAGCTAGATAAATGTAGGTTGTCATCATTTTCATGTTTAGTAGTGTT